GAGGAGAAGGAGGAGACTATTATGTACCTTGTTGAGTATAAGTAGTCGTATATTGCTATAGATCGCAAGTGCACGTGAATGCGCGTGTGCTCTCATCCTACAATTCATTCATGCGCGCGGGCGCACACATACACACGATATACTCATACACATTGTATAATGTCAAAAGTGCATGCTTACACGCAAATAGAAAATTTTGCAGACCGACAGAAAGATAGAGAGGGAGAAAACGCACGTTTGCGTTTTACTTTTACGATGATAAATCTTTTTGTGCGTTGCAATTACAACGTGTTCGTGAATATTAGAGAGAGAGAAGTGGGAGGGAGGGAGAGAGAAAATAAATAAATGAGAGAGAGAGAGAGAGAATAGCGTTATCTTCCATAATATTATACATATATAATATATATATATATATAAAATATATTATATATTATACATAAAATCGAGATATATGAAGGCGAATAATAAAAGAAATAGAAAGAGAGAGAGAGCAGCTGGCTGCGAAGGTACTATAGAGGGATTTTATTCGTCTCGCACCGATGATGAAATCATGATCCAAGTATTGTACCTTAATTACATTCCTTCGGCTATAAAATAATTTAAGGACATGTACACACAAACACATACATACGTACACGCATACACACAACAGCGCGTTTTTCTCATCATGCGTTTTGCCGTTTTAGTTCGAATTATACCGCACACGATTAGACAGAAAATTCATTGTCACTCATCACACATTTTATCCCACAATTGTGTATATTACGATAGAGACGGCTCGACTTATCTTTTTTTCCTTTTTCCTTATCGACACGACACGAAAATGAGATGGCGGTGCATTACGAGCAATGAGCAAAATTGCATATTTTTTAATATTTCGAAATGTCTCTCGTCTCTCCGCGAAGAGAGAGTGGAGAAAACGGAAGATGGGAGAGAGGAAGGATATTGCGATTCAGCTAAGAAAGAGCTAAGAATTATCGATATTTACGATAAGTTTTAAGTAGTAAAAATTAGTCATAACTCTACACACACACGGAAGGTACGGAAACACTTTAGATGAGTAACTAGAGATTCAGGAATGATAAGGTGAAAGATTGTAATTCGTCGATATCGAAGGCAAGATGAGAGAAAGTCTGTGGTATTGTTGATATTTGTTCTATTATAATTGTTAGTTATAATCTTGCAAATCTTGAAAAGTATGAAGATATACCGAAAACGTCACGGTCATTTTACCTTCGCGCAATCCTTTCTAGTCCGTTGTTACAAATGAAAAAAATTATTCGACAGTTCTCAAACGTGGACTAAAAAATATGCTCGGTCTCTCAGTCTTGATTAAGAAAGATGTAATGTCAAAAGTCACGAGAGCTGACGCATTTTTTCTCTATTTATCATGAAAATAGTCGACGCGGAATCTATCACGCGGTGAAGTGTTAATATTTATTAACGGAGTTTATTTGTAACTCTTGGCACCGTTTTATTGCGGAGTATTTGTTCAACGTGAGAACTGTCATTCGGTGCAGAAAAATTCGGGCGCAAAATTGAATTTCAAAATTGGAAGAGCGACGATATCTTTCAATTGGATGATGACTCGACGATACCACGGACGGAAAAGTATTGCTCGGCAAACGAAATCGTGTGTGAGGGATTGATGAGCAAAAGAGAGCAAAAAACGAGAGAAAAGGATACGATCTTGTCAGTGAGCAGATAAAAGCGCGACATTGTCAGGGTACGCATATTCGTATGATTCAATAGAGAGAATCCTCTATTTGTTGATCAAAACTCAGAAAAAGAAAAAGGGAGCGATGATACGCGTTTTACTTTTGCACTTTCGCTCGTCGATGAAGTTGATCAATTGTTTGCTGTCCTAAGACTATTTTTGGGCACCACTATTGTTATCAATGAAGTATAATTTAGTTCACAGGCATTTTTTTTTCTTTTGAAGGGCTAATCTTAATATTATTACTTTACACTCTAACCACATTTATTTGCATCCATAAATTGTTATTCTCTTTCATCATCAATTTATTCCATTCAATGTTGAATAATTATATAAAAGAGTAAAAAGAGAGAGAGAAAAGCAAATATAATATTAACTATTTTCACTCATTGAGAAGCATCGTTACCTGTATGACAAGTGACCATAATAAGAGCATAATAAACAATCGCTCATTAAATGCATTCTGTTGTTCTTCATTTCATGACCTGGCCACCATCCATACATCCATCCATTAGTCCATTCAATGTCGCAGTATGATCATACATCATACGCGTTCATCTTTTCTTATTCACCAAAATGTCTCTGATCTCCGTTCTGCATACTCGATTTAGAAAACGAAGCGCAATTGTGATTTTGTTGAAATTCGGCGAGTCTGTTTGAGTTTCCGCGTTTGTGGAGCGAATGAATAATCGACGATTCGCGGCGGACGAGATGGTTTTCCGAATTTCGACAAAAGGAAAAAAAGGGCTGGAAGAGAGAAAAGAGAGAAAAACGTTATATTATATAATGGCAAAACGTACGATTTCGAAAGTAGTAGTGTAGAGCTTATACGTTATTATTTCGATTTTTATAAAAATTTTAATCTCCATGATTTATCGAATGTTTATGTTAGCTGATATTTTTGTTTTTTTTTTTTTTACAGAGAAACAGGAAGGCAATTGTCGACAAATAATATTTTTAAGAAAACGCGCCGTTATTATATCTAATCCATTATTAAATGCATTCCATTAGTATCAGATTTAATTTAGAAATTTTCGTTTTTTACCGCGTTTTTCCTCAATGGGAACTGTGTTGGTGCCCACCGTGTCGTTTCCCCATCCTCCACTTCCTTTATTATAAGGTCTTGTTTACCGCTGACGAGTAAAATTAAAAGTAATTATGAACTTAATAATTCCAACTTAACTAATAATTTTTGTAAAATTTTTGAAGTGTGATTGAAAAAGTCTGACAGTCATCCAGATAATTTTAATTCATAACTTTTACTATACGCAGTTATAATTGCGACATAAATAAAACAAAATTTTCTATAAAAATCGTTTGTATTTTGTACGAAGAGTTTTGAAGTATAATTAAAAGGATTCGACAGTCATTCAGAATAATTTAAATATTTTTTAATTATATAACTTATAGTGTTGAGACATATCGGATAAGTTTATTCGAATGTATAGATTTGCATAATATATTATATATTTATGCGCGTAAAAATCGCATGCGGTACAATTTCACTTTGACATTTTCCGTGTATATGACCTTCAACGATTTATGTATATACGACCTGATCTTCCCAAAAGATAAAGATAGTGGTCGACGAGATAAATCGATGATGTGGAGTTTGTGACGTTGATACTTCGATTACCGAGCTATATATTCGCGCATGAGCCTCTGTCAAAGTCGAGAATTGCACTGTAAAGCAAGAATCCTTGTTAAAGTAACTCAATAAAGGCAAATCTCTATTCCTTTCTTCCATGATAAACGTATGTTATATTATACAAATAATACTCTTTATTGTTTCTAATCGATATCCTTTGTAAATATCTAACAAAGTCATTTTCGATTCGTAGCGAAACTTGTATGGGTGACGAATTTCTTGCGGAAACTCATCTATCATTTAAATATGATGAGGCGATCAAAGTGTTGTGATAGGCATACATAGCACATACAAACACACATATGATTTTTTTATATTTAATATTTGAATAAACATTTGTATCTTGTATATAACACATGCGTACACAAATAATGTGCGTATCTTATAAAGGATAATACGCGATAATTAGCTGATACACATGTCTTTATTTTTCTCCTTTTTTTCGTCTTACATTCCCTTAAGCGTACAATCTCAAGCGTATGAGAGATGTTATTCTAACTAGTCAGTACAAAAAAGAAATGAAAGATTGTATTTTTTTTACACAACGAATTGTCTGTAAATAAAGCAGAAAAAGTATACTTTTTTGGAAATGAGATATATTAGCGGTAAAAAGCTCTGGCGAATGAATTATTATGGTCTACATGGAACGATTTTATTATCAATTTTTGATAAAGAAAGAAACGAATAATATGAATGTAAACTGAAGAAGTAACAAATAAAAAATTATTTTTGTACGGATCATAATTAACTTAGCCCTAACAATTTATTTCAAGCTCTTGTATGTACATCCATTTAACGATTATGTCGAGATCATGAGTGAAAGTTACGTCTCCTTCATGATCCGACTTTTCTGCGTTCTTTTAAGAAGAGAATTTCAAAAGAAGATAGAGATGATGCAATTCTTATTGGTAAGTTACATACATATATTTTCAGTTTCCGCTAAACCTTTTCAGTTTCTTTCTCGTGACACATTATATAATATATAGAACTCATATAATATACAATAGATCCAAGAGATTAGCAAAATTATTTTAATCCTTTGTGATCACGTCTTGAGAATTTTATGTCGATCACACAAAGAGCAACACACTTGACACACTTTTAATTGATTGCCATATTTAAAATTACTGAACATACTTTAAACATTGTAGAAACATTGTAGAAACATTGTAGAACATGGAAATGCAGTGGCTTTTTTTAAAGATTTTAATTTTATTGTAACATATTAACATTGATAAATTAACATTGTTAATTATATTAATTTTAAGTTAATTTAATTATAGCTTGAAATAAGCCATGACATTGTGTGTTAATTTTTAAGAAAATATATGAGCATTTTTTACTCCATTCATATTAAAAAAATTTGCAAGGTAAAAGTTGTTTAAAAAATGCGCTTTTTTTGAAAAAAAAATCATAACTTTTTTTAATTTGTAATATTTTTTAATAAAAATTTATGGTTATATTTTACAAATATAACACTTTTAGAAAAAAAAAATAGTGCAATAGTTCACGTTCAAAAAAATATTTATTTTGAAAAATATAAGAGATCATTTTTGAAAATAACAAAGTATACAGTTATTATATAAAAGAGTATATTTATTTAAAATTATATAAGAATATAATTTTTTTAAGAAATATAAAGCCTCAAACTTTTTTTGGAGTCCCGTGGATCCCTAATGAGCACGAAGAGTAAAATTA